TCTCCATTACAGAGGACCACTTATCTGGGCGTGGTGTGGGATTCAACCACGATGCAGGCATGTTTATCTCATGCTCGGATCGAGTCGATCCTCACGGCAGTCAAGAGAGTGAGAGAAGGCCAGTCACTCACTGTCAAGCAGTTTCAGAGACTGCTGGGTCTGATGGTAGCTGCGTCCAACGTGATACCTTTTGACCTGCTGTACATGAGACCCCTACAGTGGTGGCTCAAGGTCAAGGGGTTCTCTCCAATGGGAAACCCGCTTCGCCTGCTCAAGGTCAAACGGTGCTGCCTTCGTGCCTTAGACGTGGAGGAAACCTTGGTTCTTGTCTCAGGGCCCGATGCTGGGAGTTCATTATCACTCACTGGTTGGGGAGCAGTCATGAGTGGCTGCTCAGCCCGCGGTCTGTGGAGTGGTCGCCATCTCAGTGGCACATCAATTGGCGTGTTTCTAGCTTTGAAACAATTTCTCCCGGACCTAAGAGATCACCATGTGTTGGTGCGCACCGACAACACAGCGGTGGTCTCTTATATCAACCACCAAGGAGGTCTGCGTTCGCGCCCCCTATACAGGCTGGCGCACCAGATCCTTGTGTGGTCCCAGGGCAAACTCCTCTCGCTGAGAGCAGTTCACATTCCTGGGCATCTCAATATGGGAGCAGACATCCTGTCGAGGCAGGGGCTGAGGCCCGGGGAATGGAGACTTCACCCCAAGGTGATATGGACAGCTTTTGGCCAGGCTCAGGTGGACCTGTTTGCGACTCGAGAGACATCGCACTGTCCCCTCTGGTTCTCTCTGACTCATCCAGCTCCTCTCGGACTGGACGCTATGGTACAGACATGGCCGAGGCTTCGTTTGTACGCCTTTTCCCCAATTGCTCTGCTCTCGGGAGTTCTGGAGAGAGTGCGCCGGGATGTCGCAAGCCGTTTTAGCATTTAAACATTTGTTTTGACTATCCATGGATATACAGTAATTTAAGATAGGAACAATTGTATTTTGACGAGTCATAATTATAATTCGACTAGTCACAATGACAATTAAAGATATCTGCAATTATAATTGCACTAGTAAGAAATCGGATTAAAGATATCTATAAATACTTTGACTAGTCAAAACTCCATTTAAGATATTTGTAATGACATCATAGATATCTCTAATTCAGTTTCGACTAGTCACAATTATATTTTAAGATATCTGAATTGTATCTGCTCCTAATCGAATCTGCTGTTGTGTGACGTGAGACTAAATTGACTCAGCTCCTCCCAGAGCTCCTCCCCAACTAATGTTTAGTGCTAACAGCTAACAACAGTGGTCTGCTTTTCTTGTCCTGGAGAGAAAAGCTACTGGATGAATTACTTCAGGGGTTATTAAATAATATCTGGATGCAGCCATATGTGGTAAAAGGTCTCCAGCGTGCATGTATGTATAGCGCTGTGATTTTAATTGAATCATGTTGCAAAACGGACCAAATGCCGTGTAATGTTCAATAAAGTCAGATGCATGCACATTTTAGATATCTATAAAGGAATTTTGACTAGTCACATAGTTTATTCCAGATATCTACATTGAAATTCTTCCTAGCCACAAAGCTCAATGCAGATATCTCCAAAGAAAGATATTCCTAGTCAAAAATCAGATTGAGATATCCATAATTAAATTGCAGACAAAATCAATTACAGATATCTTTAATTATAATTTCTACTAGTTAAAACTATTTTGTAGATATCAGAAAATATTTTCCAATGGAAGTCAATGGAACAATATGACTAGTTGTAATAGCATTGTAGATATCTCGAAATTTATATTATGACTAGTCAAAATAACATTGTAGATATCTTCAATGCATATAATGACTAGTCATAATCACATTGTAGATATCTTAATTCCAATTATGATGAGTCAAAATTGCAGAATAGAAATCTGGAATTGGAATTTTGACTAGTCAAAACTAAATTATGACTAGTACAGCAAGGAGTATTTAATGCTAAAACCGCTTGCCATACCGGGACGGGGTTCGTCTACTGCTAGTAGCCCCGTTCTGGCCGGTCCGAGTATGGTTCTCGGACCTGATTTCACTCCTTGACGGCTCTCCATGGGAGATTCCCTTCAGGAGGGATCTCCTCTCACAGGTGGAGGGCACATCCCCGCCCGAAGCTGTGGGTGTGGCCCCTGTGGGGGCACAACTCGTAGCTTCTGGCCTCTCAACTGAGGTTGTTGAGACCATCCTCCAATCCAGAGCTCCCACTGCGAGGAAACTGTATGCCCTGAAGTGGAAGCTTTTCACTTCTTGGTGCAGAGACCGCCAGCTCGACCCAGTCAACTGCCTGGTAGGTACAGTTCTGGAGTTCCTGCAAGCCCGTCTCTCTGCAGGGTTGACCCACTCCACCCTAAAGGTCTACATGGTGGCCATTGCGGTCTACCACGCCCCTATTGGTGGCCAGTCAGTGGGCAGACACCCCCTGGTTACACGTTTCCTCCGCGGTGGCCTCCGGTACGATCTTGCGTCCCCCCGTGGGACCTGGCTGTGGTGCTAGAAGCTCTTTGTAAGCCTCCATTCGAGCCTATTGAGGAAATTTCTCATCGCCATCTCACAATAAAGACTCCTTCCTTCGGGCGATATCTTCTCTCAAGAGAGTTAGGGATCTGCAGGCCCTCTCAGTGGCCCCTTCCTATATTGACTTTGCGCTCTTTTTGGCCAAAGTGTTTCTCTACCCTCGAGCGGGGTATGTCCCTAAAGTCCCCTCCTCTACACCACGGCCTGTCGTACTCCAGGCCTTCTGCCCTCCTCCCTTCCGGGAGCCTGACCAGCAGAAGCTAAGAGAGGTCTTCCTGCTACTAAGCAGACCCTCAGCCGGTGGATTGTAGATGCCATTTCCATTGCTTATGAGTCCTCTGATCTCCCCTCGCTATTGGGGGCAAAGGCTCACTCGACTAGAAGTGTGGCGGCCTCCAAGGCCTTTTTAGCAGTTGTGCTTATGCAGGACATCTGCTACGCTGCGGGTTGGTCCATGCCCCTCACGTTCGTCAGGTTCTATGGCCTAGATATGCGAGCCACTTCAGGCTCTTCTGTTCTCTCGCCCTGGCTGTGCTCTACCACACTAAGCAGGGATTTGTAATTCTGGCGGAGTGGGCATACTTGTTCCCAAAGTGTTTAGACACAGCTCGAGTTCCTAAAGGGGAACTTCTCCAGGTTACGCATGTAACCATGGTTCCCCGAAGGCAACGAGACGCTGCGTCTCAGTGCCATACTTCCGGCATCCCTACGAGCGCTTGCTTCATTCCTAGAAGCTGACGCCGGTTCCACTGCACGTGCTTTTAAGCGTCCTGGTCATTACGTCACCCCTCCCGTGACGTCTCGCCCATCCATTGGACTGATTACACATGTGATTCAGAGCGCGGTCACGCTAAAGGCATTCCCAAAGCATTTTGACGCACGCTCTCCAGCGTGTTCATGTTTTTACTGGTGTATCAGTAACACTTTAGAGTACCAGATATAGTATGTCTTAGATAAAAAATTACAGACAAATACAGACAAGTTACCATGATACCACCACTACTTTACTATAAAACACATGCTCATTGCAACCGCTTCACTAACATAACAATCATTATAACAGATGCATAATTTTATGGCAAGTTACAACAGCCAGAACTGCCACCCGTGACAAAACAATTAAGTTAAATAATCGACTAATTACACCCAATTATCTAGCTCTCTTATATGAAAAAAAACCTTAACTTATATATTGATATAGTAGCCTAATATTAAAAGCAGGCTAGGTAATTTGGTTCAAAAACATTTTGTTTGTTTGTCTAATCATATCCCTCGGTCCGATGGCTACGATAGGCTGTCCTACCTACCTGTCAACGTATGTATTTGCATACCTCCGCAATACCCTCGGTACTGCAGACCGAGCATGGATGGAAGCCGATATTATTGTAATATTATGCGCTTTGTATTGTAATGTTTTTTTCACCAGTGAATGAGACTTGAGGTAATCTGACAGAGTTGCATTCAACCAACACCATCTCTTAAAGTGTTGCTGGTTAGCCTCTGGTCTTCCTATGCACATTCACGTGTTTTTGAGGAGACGTGGCTTTGGAGAGTGATTTGCAGGGAGGGTGGGATCTTATGCTTTCAAAGCTAGCTTGCTATTGCTAGCCTCTCCGAAATCACCTACCCTACCTTAATGCTAGAAAGCCAATGCAACTGTGATTTTTTTTAATCATTAAAATTCCTTTTCACAATCATCTTGACTAAGGGGGAAGGACAGCCTGGTTGAGGGAGCAACGCCCAATCACACCCCTCCGTGGCTCTGGCCCTGTGTCTCAACCCAACGGGCTGAACAAAAATCCTCATTTGGCCAACTCTAAATGAACTTCGCTTTACCCAGATTTTGTTCAAAATTACATCATACCAGTTCATTCTTTGATTTTGCTTGGGGCCTTTATGAATACAATCTTGAGACACACTTGGAATGGTTCAGGAAAGACCTGTGTCATGAAAGGGATCCTATTTTATGATTTAATGCTGTATTTAGTTTTTAGAAGACCACTAGCTCTGGCACTTGATTGCAAACTCATAATCCCCCTTTCCCCCAAATCTCTGTCTGTATGTACGTTCACAACTCTGACATGTACGAGTGGGCTAATGAGCAGTGAAAACCAACTGGCATCACTGCAACGCAATCTAGGCTAAACTCGTCTCGGAATCCCTCAGGTTCTTCCAGCATGAGTTTCTTTCCAGGTTTATTGAGTCACACTTGTAACCAAGCCCTCTCCACCAACGAAAATCCAATTCATGGCAGTTTGTGCGAACGATTTACAGCCAGCTACGGTTGGCTCCAATGACATTTTGCAGATCGTAAAAGCCCCTGCACAGTAATACAACCTTATTAATGAATGTATTAGCTGCAATGCATCCCTAGAGCCTGCAACATGGGGAAAAGAGAAAAGGTAGAGAGTTTGACTTGATGGGGAGGGTTGATGAGTCATCCTACCCGGTTTGCAAGCTGGGGTTGAAAAGCATGAGGAAGATCCACACGCAGGGGATGCATGCTGCGAGCTTGCGGAGAATGCCAGCCATATCACTCTGAGTTCTGAATGCCTGCAGAAAGAAGAGGGAAAGGAGGGTGAGAACAAGCAAATTAGCAAAGTGGAGAGCTTCATAAGAATACAAGCTCTGTCACCTGCGCCAGTTCTGAAAGTCAAATATGAAAGGTGCTACTCAGCTGCCTGCCACTGATGTGGACATTTGATTTGTCGATTTGAAACATCAAAATAAATGTGTGTAAGAATACAATTTTAGAGACTCAGTACAAGTAAAGATATTTTTAGGAAGTCTTTTAGAAATGTTGTTTTTGAAAATGTTTAGGATTTTTTTTTGTATCTTTGCCCTCTGCTTCCCCTCTGCTTCTCTGTTGATTTGTAGATGGATACATTCCACCTGTGCATCACATGGGTCACAGAGGTACATTGTAAGCAAATGTGTAAGTTAATTTAATAATCGGTTCCTTCATGAGCTGGAATTTTATTGGCTGTGCCCCATAGGAAGTTGAAATGGGAGATTAATTAAAATTGCAGGACATGGAATTTACTAGATTATAATTATGCTAAATTTAACAGGTAAAAGCATTCTGAGAACCCTTTTCCATAAAATGAAAGTTAACTAACAAGACAGTACAAGCATGCAATTACGTAGTTATAAATGATTAAATGATCAAAAAGTAACAATAAATTACAGAACTGGTCTTGGTCTTCAAAAAGCCCTTTTCCAAAAAGTACATCTTGAAAAAGGGGGAGTCGTCTTATAATCAGGGTTGTCTTATATTCAGAACAATATGATTGTTTTGTCTGTCTGTCTGTCTGTTAGGCCTATACAAACTTACAGCCTAGGCACTGTCAAGCAATCATTCCAAGTCTGACAAACATTTATTTTCTAGGTATAAATTATGCTTTCTGTTTGGTACCTTGATTCAAAATTGCTAAAACATGCCTGACACATTCTTAAGTATTTTTAGCCTAAGAAGTCCCTTTGAAGTTAAACGTCTCAGGTTACTTATGTAACCATGGTTCCCTGAATAAGGGAACGAGACACTGCGTCCTCTAGGGGTCGCTATGGGAAACCTAGAGGACGCAGTTCGAAGTTCCCATGAAAGGGAACGTCTCAGGTTACTTATGTAACCATGGTTCCCTGAGTAGGGAACGAGACACTGCATCCTCTAGGTTTCCCATAGCGACCCCTAGAGAACGTAGTTCGAAGTTCCCATGAAAGGGAAATTATTATTTAGTACTTGGATTAAGTATAATTATAATCTAACATATAAAAATAAATACAATTTAATTTTTATTTGTTTTTGTTATTTATTATTTTTATAATCTATATTGTAACTTTATAGTTTGTCTTAAAAATGCCCTTAAATCCATGATTAAAATAATAAATATGAACCATTATATTTAAAACTTGACCTGGTAACCTCACTATATTCAAATACAGGACACTATAGCTAATCACCAATATGTATTTATTTATTTATTTGTTTGAAGAAAAGCAGTGTATTGTGTTGTGTGTCATTTCTGTCTAACAATATACTGTATTTGGTAAGAACTGTCTCAGTGTGTGAGAATGTAGTAAACTGTATCGGATACATCCCTAGACTTATCAATGTATGAGAATGCAACCTGTTTGTGACAAGTGTTTGCTGGAACTTACTGTGCAGAGCAGTGCTGCAAGAATTTGATTAAACTGTCTGGAGATTCTTTGCTCTGATAGCCTGCCAAATGGCAGCCAGCAGTCACATTTTCTCTGTTAACTTCTGCAGAATTGTTATGGGTATGTATCTGTATCTACAGCTGCTAGGGGCAAACATGCCTCTGATAGGAGGCTTGAAAGCGTTTTCACTTGTAAAATTTTGAGAGGGAGATTAATATGAACATTTATATGCAAGCTGCATTTGAGTTCCATTAAGTGCACAGAGAATTAGGAGTGGACTTCAATCTAATTGCAAAGAGCCCAAAACAGAAATGCAATCCCTTTGCAAAGCAGCACTTGAACTCAACAAACATAAAGTCATTTATTTAGCAAAAGTTATCTGCAGTAGGCAATTGCATTCAGAGTAGGCAGAGTATTTTTTTCTGCTAGCATTTGCAAAGCCATTATTGCTGTGTTCCTAGTGGCAACTTCTGTGTATATGCTGAATACATTTGAAAGGATTAATAAAACTCTCTCACACACATACACAACCTTGCATACTTTGATTCAAGAAAAAAGATAGAGCTGAATTGAAGTCTCAGCACCTTTGACTGATCCACAATCAACAACGAGGAGAAATTAGATATATTGCCCACGCCAGCATCCCACGTTGGCCCGCTCCTGTGGCTTATCTTAAATTAAAAGGTGAAAATACATTAAGTTCCAAGGTGCTTGCAGGCTTTGCAGCAGTGCTACCCTTGATTTTATAGTCTGCTGCCAGACATACACAGTAGAACAGTAGAAGCACAAGGGCAGCATGGCAAATAAGTCCTTCATCTCCCCTATTGATCTGGCTTTCGTTTCTCAAAGCTGTGACACCTTTACACATTATATTCCATCTACAGCGCAGGTACAACGCAGAAATAGTTCACTAAAATACTCTACAGTATATTCCATTATTTTCGACCCCTGTTGCAGGTGGCATATTGGCAAGTACATTATGGATGTCAACCTTACCTGACCCATACATTTCAGGTCTTGAAACAGGTCTCCTACTAAAGATCTGAAGAAATTAATCAGGTGTGTTTGATTAGGAAGATTTTGAAATGCTGTGCCCCGATTCGACTACTAATTTCTTTTCGAGAAGAAAAAGTAGCAGGAGAGTAGGCAAACTTTGGGACACACTATCATAAACTTGCGCTTTGTCGAACAGTTATGTGCATTCTGTCTGTGTAAACTGGCCTGTAAATCATGCTGTCACAGTTAAAACCCCATATACGCATTCCATATTTGATTTAATTTAATTAAAAACACTACTCAAATAATTCTTCCTGCCATATTGGAGAGAAAACAAGTAGCACACTGATCTGCCAGTCATGGGTTTTCATGCGGAAAGCTCATGTTTTTTTGCATAATAGTGTCCAAATGTACCTGTTTCGCTATTGTCTTATCCATATCCTTATAAAAGTTCAGAATGTTGTTGCAGATTAAATATAATGTTAAATAAATATTTAATTAGGTATTGATTATAAATCATTCAAACCCCTTTCGAGGTGTTTCTACTTAACTGTCAGTCTTATGAATATATAGCTTATTTGGACTTATTTTTATTCGTGTTTGTAGCTCTGAATTGCACCTTTCTCTACATTGCAGTGGGTTGTGGATAACACCCTGTGCATGGTTCCATCCTCATTAAAAATTCAAAATTTGCCACCTCAAGAAGCGTTATGACAAAAGATGATTGCTACACACTTTGTTTCGGGTGATGGATACATTTGAATGAGATATAGTCATTTAGAGTACTTTGGGCCTGCTTTTTGTCTTTTTTGGATTAAATAATTGAGATTAAACTCGATTGTTACATTTTTCTTAAACAAAAAAAAACAAAAAATGTTTTTCATTTTTGTGTGGACTTTCCTTTTTAAACTGCAAACTTACTTCCTGTGATGGGTCTCTCCTAAAGAAATCCACAATTCCATAGCTGCCGCGCTTCATGACACCACTGACAAAGTCAGTAAAAAAAGTTCCTATGCCAAAGACTGGCTGATGCAGCTACTCACAAGTCCGGGAAAAACAAGCAGTCAAAAGAAAGTAATATGTAGCTGCTGAGAACTGTCAAAGCATCAGCGAAAGGTCAAAAGACCTGGACCAACTTAACATACATGCCAAGCTGTGTCAGTAATTCTGTGCTGTTAGTTTGCCTGTCTGTCACTGTCCTCCAAAGACACACACACACACACAGGTTTGTTTTTATGGTTTATGGGGACTCTCCACAGGCGTAATGGTTTTTATACTGTACAAACCATATTTTCTATTGCCCTACACCAACCCTACCCCTAAACCTACCCCTTACAGGAAACTTTCTGCATTTTTAGATTTTCAAAAAAACTCATTCTGAATTATTTATAAGCCTTTTGAATTACGGGGACACTGAAAATGTCCTCATAAATCACTTTCTCGTTGGAATACCTATGTCATACCCATGTTATTATACAAATTTGTGTCCTCATAAACCACATAAACATGCACACACACACACGCGCACACACAATAGTCTGGTGTGTGCCTGGCTAATTGAAGACCATTAAATACACATGGCCTCAGGAGCATTGCTAGCATGGAGGATATTGAATAATTTAAAAGCAGTTCATCTAAATGGGAAATTCTGAAGGCTGCTGTTCTAATAACATAATCAACAATGCCGTGTTAATGTCAGCGTCCTTATTACATTGTCTCAAAAAGAATTAAAACAGGTTGAATTCAAACAAATGCACAGTGATTTAAAATCTCAAAACTAATTTACTAAATAGAGTCTGAAATGATCAGTAGTTTGGTTTGTTTGTTTCTTAGTTAGTTTTCGTGAACCAGATAAGCAAAACCTTGCAGCTTAATTTGATCCCAGAAGGTTCCCTGTGAAAGTTTTTAACATTGCAGAAACCATTCAGTATTATATCAGTATTATATGTCATGCAATGTGGAAGTAACCTAAACAAAACAAAACAAGACTGAAAGCTTATATTCTCTGTTTTTACAAAATGGTTATTGTTAATAATAGTCTACCGGTGTTATCATTTTAGAATTATCTTGGCTTTTGAGACTTTTTTTTGAACATTTTTTCTTTTTGATTATTTCTGAACATATGATATATTACATGCATATTTTCTGTAAAGATATTTAAGTGATTTGTTTTATATTTACACCATGCTGACAATTTCATGTGTGGGGTGCACTTGGGATAGAACTAGATGGTTAATAAAGAAAATGTTACTTATATCATGCTGTAGTTACATTTCTGAGTCCACTAATTAAACGTAAAAAAAAAAGAAAAAATCAAGATTGATTGATTGATTTGTTTGCCATATCACCCAGCCCTAACATACACCATGTCCTATGAAAACTCTAGTACAGTCCAAGTG